GGATAATCTCCTCCAGCCTCCTCCTGCTGAGGGCCACCCGCCGTGGCTGACTTCCTCTTCATCCTTGGTTTCTTGCTCCGACAGTTCTCACAATGTAACTTCCTGTGTTTGTCCTGATGAGGTCACTGCTGATCTACATCAGGTTCCCAGTGAAAGAGGAGATCACTGGAATGAACTGCAGCTACAACGAGCAGGTGAGATGATGACAGCTGGACCACACGATGGTGTCCCTGTAGAAGAGGGAACAGAAGGACCAGAAGAACACGCCAAGGTTCTCAACGGTCCTGCTGACAGAACCAGTGACTGTGGTAGAACTTTTGTTTGTCTTCATGAAGAAAAGTGTGAAACAAATCCAGGTCTGATTCTCCAGGATGTTGTTGTCCTTCAGCCCTCTGCCGTCACGTCACCGTCTCCTTCTGAAGAAGGTGAGCAGAGAGGTTCCAGCCAAGTCCTGGTCAGTCTCCTGAGGGATGAGTCCTCTGAGTGTTCCTCATGGAGCTCTGACGGCGCTCGGACTTTGGAAACCTCCACCTGTGTTTGCTCTGATGGTTCAAACCCTAAAAACCAAGCTGAGCTGCAGCCAATCCCTGAGAGAGGTGGAGATTTAAGGGGAGGAGCTAACCCAGAGGATTCAGACGGAACCAGGACGTCACAGGAGGAGACGGCTGCAGAAACACCACATGATGTCCAGGACGTCTCTGACTCTGCATCTGCAGACACCAGCTGTGATAGAACTCTGGGTCTGGATCGTGATGAAGAAGTCCCTGTGGTCACAGCAGTGGACCCTGGTCAGCTGGACGTCCATGCCTCCACTCCTTCTTATGAGATTCACTGTCAAAGCGGTGAAGAAACGGAGAAGGAGGGGGGGATCAGGGAGATGGTGACGGAGCTGTTGGACGAAGACGCCCACTCTCTGGAGGTCTGTCGCCTCAACCCTGGGACCTGGATCAAGCTGGACCTGGAGCACACCTGGGAGGCTTGGGCTCAGGGAGCGACTGAGGTGGAGAAGGACGGAGAGGTGGAGCAGATCCCTGCCTCGGTGTCGGAGCTGCAGCCGTCCATGGCTCTGCTCGGAGCGTTTCCTTACAGCACGGTGACGCCCAAGGGTTCGCGGGTGTGGGAGTGGCACACCGAGTGTCCTCAGGGCGTGGGTGGACTTAGACCTCAGACAGAGAAACATCCAGCTCTGAGTCTGAACCCCGAGGCTCAGGTCTGGTCTAGTCCGGTTCCTCGTCTGAACATCTACGCTCCACCTCAGACTCAGTGGCTGCAGCTCCAGGATGAGATGACCACTCAGGAAGGTAAGGTCAGGAACGTGTGACTCCACAGTGAAGGTCCGTGATGAAGATGAGTCTGATGGTCAGGGAACACTTCCTGCAGGGTTCCTGTCAGAGCTGCAGCTGCAGGAAATGGGTCTGACTGAGGCTGGAGCTGATCCTGGCTCTACGGACCGTCAAAGACCGTCTTCTGAGGAGGCGCCGGTGGTGAACGGAGAGTCCAGTCCACCCGTGACAGGTACCACCCTCTCTGAGGTCCATGTGGTTATAACTAACAGTCTCTGTGGTTTCAGTATTTCCTGTGTTTTCAGATGAGGTCAGAGAAGAGCTGAGGAATGTTCTGGAATCCTGCCTGAACAGGTCAGAGGTCACAGCCCCCTCATGTACTCAGGTAGTTTCCTGTTTGACTGACCTGTGTTCGTCCACAGTGAGCAGCTGAGCAGAGACCTGTACCTCAAGTCTCAGATGGACGGGGACCAGTATGTTCCTATTTCAACCATCGCCAGTCTGGACAAGGTCAAAGACCTGTGCACAGACGTGGACGTCCTCTGTGACGTCCTCAAATGTAGGCTGTCTTTTCATCTCTCAGTGGAACTGTCCTTCTTCTTCTTCTTCTTCTCCTTCTTCTGATAATGAACCTGTTGGTTTTCCTGTTTCAGTGCTGCCTCTGGTCCACGTGGCTCCATGTGGACAGAAGGTTCGACCCATACAGGGACGCTGTGTCCTTATCCTTCGTGAGGTCCCCGACACCACACCTCCTGAGGTAAGATAGCGCCACCCAGAGGTCAAAAGAACAGCACACCCTGGCTCCTCCTCACTCTGTCCATTAACTATCATGCTGGTGAGCTGCACACGCCCCCTGCTGGCCTAGTTACCTGTCCAGTACATTACCTGAGACATGTTGAACCTTTTCCACAGAGAGAACCAGTGACACAGCAGCTGCTGGTCCACTGCTGCCTCTTGTGGACAGTTGATGTCACTGTAAACATGACATATTCTAACTCTACTCCAGGAGGTGGCGTCACTCTTCAGAGGTGAAAATCTGCCAAAGTTCCTGAGCTGTGAGTTTGTAAATAACGACAACTGGTTTGTGACCTTCAGCTGTGAAGACGATGCTCTGCAGGTACAGGTCAACGTCACCTCTGGACAGTCCTCCTCCATGACCCACACGACCTCTGACTCTTTACTGTGTCTGTGGACCTCAGGTCTTCAGGTACCTCAGGGAGGAGGTCCGAGTGTTTCAGGGACAGCCTCTGAAGGTCAGGATCAAGGCCAGACCCATGATGGTTCCCACCTACGTCCCACAGCTGGAGCAGCACAGCAACGGTCACAGCTACAGCATGTTCTACCCCTACACCGCCCACACCACACCACCACAGGGCTGCACCTTCAGTGGAGAGGACTGGTCTTCAGTGTCCACGCCGTACCACGGAGCAGCAGACGTGAGTTTCTGTCTCATCACAACTTTAGGAAGTTCTGATTGGACAGAGAAATCTAACCATCAGAGTTCATCACACAGTCTCCACTGGGGGGAGTGATGTCTGGACGTGAAGGTCCGGGCCACGGTCTTTGGAGCCAGCACCGGCCCAGGTACCTGAGCGTGTCTCTGTTCTCTGGGTTTGTTCTCCTGTGGCCGTGACTGACTGATTGATTTCACATCATCTTCAGAAGAGGCTCCAGGTCGTCCAGCAGCACAGACCGACGAAAGCTCACGCCGAACAGATGTCCCGCTTGGTCAGAGCTGCATGAGCTGGAGCCATCCTGGACCCCCGTGAGACGGGGACAGTCAGTCGGTACCAGTCAGAGCAGAGGAGGGAGGGCGGAGTCAAGGTGACGTGTTCTACACCCTCTGCTGCTACAATGCTGTCTTTATACACACACACACACACATATATGTTTATTACCATGTTGGGAATCATGAAAGAGCCGACAGTGAATCAGGAACTCTGTCCTCCAGGAGAGGAAACACTCCGAGGAGGAGGAACAACCACAGGCTGAGAGGGAAAACTGAAGAAGACGTTCATGTGAGTGGACATCAGCCGTCTCCTCCTCTTCCTCCTGAGCTCGGACTGACAAGTTTCCCTCCTCTTCCTTCATCAAATGGATTCACAGCTAAGATCAACAACAAGGTCAGTGTCTGAGTAACACACACACACACACACACACACACAGGGGGCAGCATGTGAACTGATGATCATCTGTCTCTGACCGTCACAGGGTCCAGCAGCTTCACCTCCGTCAGAGTCGGACTCACAGCTGTAAGTTCAGACTGAAGTCATGTCAATCAAACCACCGTCACCGAGGGAACCAGGTGTTTTATCTCACAGAACCAGCAGCTGCTGATCCACTGCTGCCTCTGCTAATACCAGCTGACCACAGGAGGCAGCAGTGGACTCCTGTGTCCGTCAGCTAAAACAGCCTCAGCTCCAGTCAGAACACAGAATCTAAATTCTCACTCAGAGACTGAGGGCAGATAAAAACACGTGAACATGGAGAACAGAGCTTCAAAATACCAGTTTAATCTGTTCAACAGCAGCAGCAGCAACAGCAGCAGTAACAGCAGCAGCAGTAACAGCAACAGCAGCAG